TTTTCCGCCCATAAAATGAACGAGTCATGCAATAACGTCATTGACCTTTAACCCTACACGCGAACACAGGCGGCTGTATTAAGAAATGTTTTTAAAAAAAGTGTAAATGTTGAAATATTTTATATTAAGTGATAAACCTAGCCCTAGTTTTATGGAACTTCCTTAGATTAAGGTTTTCCTTTTTTCAAGCAATGGTTCCCTTTTGAGAAATTTAGTTAAGGAAAAAATCTTAGGTTACATTTCATGGTACTGATGCCTGGTGTGTAAAGTTATAGGATATGAAATTTACAGCAGTTTTGTTCTTGTTTCAAACTTCTACATAATATATAAGTTGTAGTCTGGTACGAATACTTTACTACAATGTATTTTCAGGATTGAGCCATTTCTATTCAGTTTCATTATTTTAACATTAAAATAAATGTTAAAATTTATTTATAGTAAAAGTCCCGATCTGTTCAGACAGAGAAATTTTGGTCTTATAAAGGAGTTTGCATGGTGATAAATTGAGGGAAATGTATAAAGGAATTCTTAAGAAAACAAGAAAAAAGGACACTGAAATATATTGGCGGTAAACGGGTTGGTAAATGAAACAAGGGGCATTATATCGAGGTGTTACTGTATTACATTTGTATGTAAGGTTTAACTGTATTACGTTTTTTCAAAAGTAGGTATAGAAGACCAAATATATTTTTGTATCACTTGTAGATTTTATTTTTCCAGTTGGAAAAAATATGAAAATATTGATATAAATTTTTTCTTGATGTGTTTTCATGCTGATAGAGTTGGATAGACTGATGATCATGCACTGAGCAAGCTGAACACATCAGTCCAAAGTTGTGAGGTTGATTTTGATTAAATATATTTTTCTTCAGGAAACCAGTCTGAATTTGGATGATAGAGTCCATATATCTATATATAAGACATCAGTCCAAAGTTGTGAGGTTAATATTGATTAAATATATTTTTCTTCAGGAAACCAGTCTGAATTTGGATGATAGAGTCCATATATCTATATATAAGATCATACTTTGACATGGCATTGAAGATGGGGCCTCAGATTTCTTATTAATAAGTTAATTGAAAAAAATAAGTTTCAATTTTCCCTGTGTATATATGAAGAATATAAACATGTATTGTCAGGACGATGAATGTTGATGGTAATTATGTAGTATTGTTGTATGCAAATGAAATTTAACACAAATTCCTATATATGTTATTGCTGTATTATTTAACCGCTCTCCAGTACGCTAGCACATTCCCTCTTGCGCCCGCGAAGGAGCTTCAAGTACATCCACTCCGCTACAGGTGATGTAAATCGTGACTCGGCTGTACACAGGCTAATGTTGTTGCAATTTGCGTCTTCTTAAATTCAAATGAAGCATTTTGATAAGCCAATTTAGTTTGCAGACAGCTGAGGGGTCAGCCTGTGTTTGTGGTGGAGGGGATTGAGTTTGACATATGTGAGGATTGTGTTTAGATTACTGTTCTCATTAACAATAACATTACGGAGATTAGTCACAGAATGTAAAATGTACACAGCACTTTTGTGCCTGTCCAGGACTTCTGTGAAAAAGTTTTTAATGAAATGACGGTTTTTAATTATTTAAATAAAAAATGTTTTGAATTGTTCATGACTTCTGTAAGAAACATTTGAGTCATGATGGAAGGCATTCAGTGTCCACTATTTCTGTAAAATGGGTCTAAGATATTTAACTCATTCACCCCTGAAGACACAGTTGAACCCTTCCAATTCAGATGTTGGAATAGTTCATGAAATTTCAGGGGTGAAACTTACAATGAGTTCACTGTCTTTTGACTTTTGTAAGACTGGTTTGTGTCCCCAGTCAAAGTGTGTGGTAGTGGTTCAGTGGCTGTCAATGACTTAAGGTTTGTGGTTGCTTGGTGTCCATGACTTTTCTAAGGTGGTTTTGAGTCATGAGTCAAAGTTTTAGGTTGTTGTTAAGTGTCGCCTTGGGATTTGAGTGAAAAGTCAAAGTTTGATATAAATAATAAGTGTCCATGTCTTCCGTATGAAAGGTTTTCGTCACAAATCAAGATTTGTGGTAGTAAGGTGACTTTAAATCCTGAGTCAAGGTTAAGTGTTTTATTTCTGTAAGGAAGTTTTGAGTCAAGGTTTGAGGTAGTTAGGTGACTTTAAATCCTGAGTCAAGGTTAAGTGTTTTATTTCTGTAAGGAAATTTTGAGTCAAGGTTTGAGGTAATTAGGTATCCATGACTTCTACAAGAGCTGTTTGAGTTATGAGTCATGGATTCCATGACTTCTGTAACCATTTCCCAGGTCAATCCTATCACATCCCATCCTGATTCAGTGACATCACACTAGCAACTTTATTTCTCAACAGATTTTGATCAAAATTTATACAAATGTCAGGGTTCCAACACGTCAAACTAGAAGTCACTGTTACTATTTATAGAAATCGGTCAACCAATGACACATGCATCACACGGGAGCAGTGTGATGCATGTATAGCAGATCTGGATAAGGTTGATTGTCGGCAACCAGGTAGCTCTATTGGTAGATAATCTGTACAGAGTTTTGAGGGTCCTGGGTTTGAATCCCGGTCGGGGCGTTGCATTTCTCTTTCTCCTATTACACATGTGTAACAAATATTTTTTATTTAGAAAAAAAATCACAGTTAAACCAGGACCTTGATTATTTAGATTTCAGGCTAATTACAAATTCATACCTGTCTCTTTGCAATTGCTATATGCAGTGTCTAGTATACTATCACCAGTGAACATAACCTATTTCGGCTGTAGTGTTAGTAAGGTTTGATGGGGTTCCTTTTACTGTAGAACTCACCGTGAACCATCACCTCTGTGATAGGTATAGCTTGGCAGGATAAGTAGGTACTAACTAGGCTGTTATTGGCAGAAGTGACAAGCTATGTGTCTATCTATACTGGGAGGGGGTGGGGGTAGGGGTTGGG